GATGTCATTTGGGTGATCCAGAATTGTCCTGAGGGGCATTGAATGAGTGTCGTGTTAGATATGTAAGAAGAATGTGTTTAGTCTGAGGATTCCACAATACAGGAAATCACAATTTTCCAGAATAAAAAGGACACCAAACTCTTTACATTTTCAGATTCAGATTCAGATTACTTACCATGCCCTCCAAGACATAAAGTAGGACCAAGGTCCTCTCACATGGCACAGGCTTAGAGGAACCACATACTATATGAACCACAGCACACATGGAAAAACAATGGGGAAGTACAGTACAATTTTAGACTGAGAATAGGTGGCAATTTTTTCTTAAAAGGATTGTTGGCATCTGGAACAGATCATCTAGCCATATTGTTGAAAGGAAATCCACATTAAACATGAACATTAGACTTAACAGTTGGGTAAGTACTGTAATCATTACTGATAATGCAATTGTAACTGAAAAACACAGAATCAGAAATTACCAAACAAAATCCCTGTAAAGACACCACACTAAGATACAGTATCTTTGTAACAATTATCTTTGTTTAATTTTTGTCTTTCAACTAACATAGTAATTCATCCTCATTTATAGTGAATATTTATATCAGTGAATTTTCATCCTAGCTTTCTTCCTGTTCCTTGTTTATATTAAGGCTTAAAACTGATGTGTGAATTCCCATCTAAGTAGCTAAACAAATGCAGACTAAGTACTGGTCTAGATTTTCAAAACATCAAAATATTTCAACTTTAGCAAATTTGTGGGGTGAAGAGATCAAAATGTTTAAGCATCTTTTGGCAACAGTGTGCATTAATAATGCACTGTTGAGAAAATACCTTAAGAAACTCGTTCAACTCTTGTGGATTATTGACGTTTATACAGAAAATCTTTTTCCTCAGGTAAGAACAACTCTCTGTATATGGCATCTCTCTGCGGAACCCCTGTTGTTCATGCTTGCAAAATCCCCTTAGGCAAGATAGACCATATTTGCACAGGTCTCTTTAGGTCAGATTGTTAAAATGATCAAGTTTCTTAAAACATTAAGAATGCAATTACAATAAAACCCCAAAATGGGATAATACAGATATATTTGCCAGCTTGTTATGTTTCTCAGTTTTCAGTCAATTTTTTATATTGAGATTATATTGAGATTTGTCAAAAATCCTTTTGTCCAAAGCTGAGGGGGCAGGACAGTTCAGTTGGGGTGGAATAGCAAATTTGGAAGAACATTTGTTTCATGTTAAAACTATTACCAAATGTTTAGTGTATAAAATTACCACTTAGAAAACCTGATATCAAGAGACATTTCCAAAACTGACTATAAGTATTCCCACTCAAGCTAATAAAACTCTTCTCTGCACAGAATGACAGAACATCAAAGTGAGAATCAAAGTTAAGTTACGTGTATTTATTTACATGGAGAATGTATTGCCTGTAAGGAGTTGAAGATTGTGAAACACAGTACAATAGAAGAATGGTCTTACTATGACATGCACAGACGTCTTCCATTTCCCAGCACATTCTCCAAGTCAAATTTAGAAGTAGGGCAGAGATACTGTATCTGGAAGCTTATATTCATGAAATAGAAAAACGGCAGCTTTTCCAGGAGAGTCAAAAAGCTTGAGACTGATCAGCATCTGCAATTGCACTTTTTTGGAGAGGGAGACAAAAAAGGTGCCCCAAACATAGTCTGCCTTACTCTTTCTGAAGTCAAAAGGCACTAAAGGGAATATTATAATTGAAAATGATCTGGAAAATTATATACAATACTATAATGCCACACCTCATTTGTGGTCCATGAGCGTTTATAATTAACATAACACTAACACTGCCGACATGGGTTATTCCAGAGCAGGAGGACAGCTCGAGGAATATGGACGTGGCTATACTTTGTTCTGCAAGTCAAAAATAGAGGAAGAACATGAAATTAATGAAGTTGAATTTTCCATCAGGAATGAAATCAGCTTCACTTGTGCCCTGTTGTGATCAATGAGCGCAACATGAGTCTTTGTCTAAAATTAGCAGGAAACCAATCAGCATATGTGATTTCATCTTCTGCTCATAATGTAGATTCAAACAACAAAACTAAGGAATGTTTCCATGCCAAACTCAACCACATTCTCAGTGGAATTCTGAAGGACACCAGCCTTACTTCATTGCCAGAATTTTATAGTTTCGGATTAGTTAATAGCCTTTTAAGATATGCCAGTCTGTGGAATAGAAACATTGGCAAAGAAAAGTCAACTGTCACCGCATTCTTGTCCTTATCAACTGCACAGAGCATGAGGTCATCATCACCACCACCCTCTTTCACCAGAAAAACAGATGCAAAACATCCTGGCAACATCCATGGTCTAAACGTTTGCACCTGCTTGACCACGTCATTGTCCATGCCAAGAATCTCACCGAGACAACTGCTGGACCGATCATCATCTAATCTGTTCAATTACGTTGATCAAACTGGCTTCCAAACATCTTTGATGTTCACTGATCCAGAAGAAGTGATGTTCATGGAAAAACAGAGCATAATAATACTGTCAAAGATAACACCTGCTCTGCCTGCCAGGAAGTTTGCAGATCCAATACAGGTCTTACTGGTCACCTTTAGGTTCATGGAAGACAGTCATCCTCAACTGGGAGTGATTGCTAAAGACACATGTGATACAAGTGACTAAGACCTCAGCTGGAAAGCAATAGTTACAGTGGTCATAATAATAATAATTGCTTACACTTATATAGCGCTTTTCTGGACACTCCACTCAAAGTGCTTCAAAGGTAATGGGGACTCCCCTCCACCACCACCAATGTGCAGAATCCGCCTGGATGATGTGACGGCAGCCATAGTGCTCACCACACATCAGCGGGGAGGAGAGCAGAGTAATGTAGCCAATTCATAAAGGGAGATTATTAGGAGGCCATGGTTGGTAAGGTAAGGGAAATTTGGCCAGGGGTTACACCCCTACTCTTTTCGAAAAATGCCCTGGGATTTTTAATGACCAGAGAGTCAGGACCTCGGTTTTACGTCTCATCCGAAGGACAGCACCCATTTACAGTATAGTGTCCCCATCACTATACTGGGGCATTAGGACCCACACAGACCACAGGGTGAGCACCCCCTGCTGGCCCCACTAACACCTCTTCCAGCAGCAAACTTGGTTTTTCCCAGGAGGTCTCCCATCCAGGTAATGACTAGGCTCACACCTACTTAGCTTCAGTGGGCTGCCAGTTGTGAGTTGCAGGGTGATATGGCTGCAGTCATAAGGAAGGGAACCCTTGCACTAGGACTTTTTATCATTACATACCTCAGAAATTTTACTCAGCACTATTTTTAATTTAAACATATTCAAATATAGAAGACCACAGAGTGGCTCTCCGAATAAAATTGTTTTGAGCTAAGTACAGGTTCAGCTCTATAATCACTGGCTGGAGCCTGGAATAGGTCAGGAACCATCTGTGATCATAATTCCTCAACTGGCTGAGTCCTGCTCAGTGTAGGATTCCTATTACTTATACTCTGCTCTCTAGACTCTCAGTGATACAGTATCACCTGGGCACTTGCAGGCTTTTGTTTTGAACACAACACAGACAATGCTCTCCCATACTGCAGGTTCAGCATCAGTAAGACGTGAGGCATGTACCTCATTGACTGCATTGCCTGTGATGTATTAAGAAACACGATGGTTTAGTGTGCACAGATCAGAATAGCCTACTGCAAGTATAACATATAATTATTATGAAGAAAGATTTTAATTAAAAATATAAATAAAAGTTTATTCCCTGATGCTGAATATACAGTACAGTTTGAACAGAAAAAAAATAAAAAAGTGATTCCTGAGGTACTTCACAATGAGCTCACAGCTTTAAACATACTTTCTAATTTCTACATATTGGCATTTTTTAAATCAATGTTATTAGAAGTGAAAGTTCAGCCAACCTAATATTAAAAAAGGCAATACAACAATAGACAACATAATGAACTCACATTTATTCAGAACTCTTTGTATGCATAATATATATATATATTACAACTTGGCACAAGTTTGTAAAACGAAAAGTATGCATTTTGAAATAATTTGATGAAAAACATGGACATATTGCAGGAACTTAATTGCAACTCCAGAAATTAGCACAGCAATTATTATACTCTCTGTAAGTATGGATCCTCAGCACAAATTATCAACAATATCACTACCTGATTCTATATTTACCATGTGAAAATGTAATAATAATATTATTACCACTAAAATGTTATTATTCTTGACTGAGCAAGACTCTTGTTAAGGTCAATATTTAGTCACCATGATAAACAATACTATTTTTCTAGTGATACAGTGGTAAATTTGTGTAAAAAAAGAGTTGGAGTAAAAGTGTTTGATTAAATATCAAATCTGTCCATATCAGACAGAAAAAAAACATAATTACAGTTCCAAAAGTAAAACAGAAACAGTACAGTATTGGAACTCTGGCCCACCCTCTGTATTCCTAATTATTTCCTTTGTGTATTACATAAACATCTACCACAGCTAACTTTATAGGTATCGGCAATATAACATTTATTTGTACTACATTTTATTGCACACGAATCAGTTTCATTCGGATCTAGTGATGGCAGAACTAAGCAATTCAATTCCTGACCCTGTACATCATTTACAAAGTTTGTATTTTGCCCAGAGTGTTTTAAACAAAGGGAGAAAGCTGAAAGAATAACACATTGCTAAGAAAATAAAGTTCTGATGCACAAACTGTTACTACTCGCGACATTGTATAATCCACGAATTTCTAACATTTAATAAACGTCTTTGTGCAAACGGCGTAAATCACATTCATTTGTCAGGCGACATAGAGAAAAGAGCGCAAACAGCAGGGAAAAAAATGCACAAATCCGTATCCCTCGAATTACGCAAAAGAAGCGTGTCTTAACACGCTTAGCAGCTCCTCGCTTTGGCCTTAAACAACGCGAGTCCTGGGCAGATCTCAGAGTTGTGCTTCCCCGGGGGAGCCCGCAAAGAGCCAATTGTGTTCTGGGCTGACCCGGAAGAGCACCCGTTCAGAAACGAGCGCCTGGATTCAATTTGGTAACTGCCAAAATAATCTTGCGGTAAGTTCCAATATATATATTTTTTAAATCAGCACACCAGCAAATACAATTAACGTTCCAGAAATAAAAAAAAAACATGGATCGTGCTCATCTTTGCCATTATCAGCTATGTTTGTCTGGGTTTCCTGCGATAGCATTGGTAGTATTTTCTGAGGACGTGCAACACGGATGTTTAAAGATTAAGGGCTTGTTACCATACTTCCAAATTATTTATATTTACAATCACTCTAAAGTTCTATTTCTAATGGGAATAAAACATTAGGTTTGGTAGCAAACACGACACGTCGTTTTACTTTATTAGTTCTGAGGTCCATTTTAAATATTAAAGTCTTTGTCACAAAGTTCCAAATGGAGTAAACTCTAAAATACACTAGCGTTATTAATTTTAGGATGATAACTTTAAAATAATAATTTATAGCTTTTATGAAATTGACGATTTTAGCAGGTGCTTTGCTAAGACAGTTTTTTTTAACTGTGCACCACCCTTCGACATTAAATACAGATATGCCTGCAGATTTGTTTTAGGTTCTATAAATCACGTTTTAAAAGTTAGATGTAAAGTTAAAATTGTTTTTTGCAGTGGCCACATTCATAAATCTAGAGGCCGATCCTAGCCAGGCTGTTTTTTAATGTATAATTTGATCTTTAGTTCTGGAGGCAACGCTATGAGATTGATATTGATTTCAAAACGATAAGTAAATTAAACAGCAGGGAAATACGAAATTTTGGTCGCATCCTGACTGACCTCAGTTCAAACTTCTAGTAATTCCAATTAAAATGGAATTATGCCACGTTATTTGAATGAAAAAAAAAATAAACGGAGAAGAGGAAACACTTATATGGTGTTTATCCCAAACACGTTTCCTCTTAATAGGTTGTAGTAGCAGTGTCCTTTGTTCATTTTATTTCATAGTTCAGTTAATTGGTTTAAGAGCTCGAGATTTATGCATATGAATTCCTGAGTAGGGGATTATATCAAAGCAGATTATTCATAATTTGCTATTCTTTATAACAGTCAGTTTAGTTTTATGTGTTAAATCCTCATCTTTTTGTAAGGGTATGGAACAAATCTGTTTCTAAAGCAAGGATAAAAAAGGACAAGGATAGTTAATTTATTATGGAATGTAGCTAATAGAGCAGCTATGGGCATTTCAATCAGAGATAACGATAATAAAAAGTTATCATACGTTTGATTTTAATGCTTGGCTGAAAAGGTTCTAGGCTTTTCAAAAATGTCCCTGGGCTTAAGGGGTCCCTGGACTCCAGCTGGAGAACCACAGTTCTGTATAAAGTGATACCTTCAGTATAACATTGCTACTAATTACCCTGATGTTTAATTAAAATAATTCCGTACCCACAAGACATCTGGCAGCCTGCATTTCCATTTTGATGAAGTGGCGGATTTTGAAAGTAGCCACAAGGTGCTTTTCTGTCTCAAGTCATGGTTGTGATAACTGCAGTCAGGTCTGTAAAACCTATTAAAGGAAGGCATGATAAATGTAGAAAAAAACTTAGTAGATTTAGGAAACATTGCTTGAAGATTAGTGTAACATATGGTGCAGGTTATGTTCACTCTGTTATGATAAGTCCCAGGTCTTCAGTTGCAAAACAACATTTTTTATACTTTATGCGTAAAGATTGAAGTGAGTTTATTGATTCGGTAGTTTCCACTGAAGGTGCTGTCGGTCACAATGTAGTAAAACAAAACAATACATAATAAAACGTGTTCTTTCAGTTAAGACATGTATAGATTCATCTTCTCAATTCACAGTATTAAATTTAAGTCACTGATGTAAATTTCTGGCGAGTGGCAAAAAACCTCCTTTTAAATGCAGCGCTTAAAGCATGCAGATATTAAATGAACACAAACTGTTTGTAAGGATAAGAATCCAAGAATTAATTGAACACCCCAGAGTGCTCAGAAGCTATCACAAGGCTTTATTTGTCTTGTGGTTTGGAGGTCAATAGTTAGAAGAACAAATAATTGTAATTATAAATGAATTAGTATAACAGCATTTTCAGTCTGAAAGGGAACTGTTGCTTGTCTTGTATTTTTTAGAATGAAAGGTTAAGATTGAATCTACATTTTTAGTCAAATTCTCCATTATGTCAATACTGTATGTTTGTTAATGTAGAATTTTAATATGTTTTAAAGAAAAATACAATTTGGAGTTCTCTGGTAATAGTTCATGCATCACATGTAACAGGGCTCATTTGGTACTGACGCTGTTACAAAAGGCAAGGCCTACTTCATTCCCTGGGGATAGATAGTGTTGAATTGCCCTACATTGGGAGTCCGCTTTTCTGGGCTCTAAATCCAGTGGTGACCTTGACAAAATCCTGATTAGGGACTGGAGGTGCAACTGCCACATGTAGCAAACTGAAACTGTGGTTGATTTTCTTATTTGGTATAGGCCTAGTGTGTTTTTTTCCCCTCGGGTCATGCATATAAGCAAGTGTTTTGTTTTCCTGCCTTGAACACCTGCAGCGTTTGAGACTGTTAATGATTAGTCCAATCTTAAAGAACATACATCTTTTTTAGCGTCTTTTAACAGTACGTGGAAACGTAATTTTCTCCCTGTGGGTGTTTTTCCTCATGTTTTGTCTTTCCAAAAGAAGCCCTCATAGCTTGAGCACAATAAATCCGTGAATCCATTGGTCTTGCACAAATACTTTCGTGCTTCTGAAGAACTGGATAAGACAAAGTCCAAGAGCTGTGATTCTTAGTGATCTCCTAGAACTAAGTGGAAGCAGGGCTCTCCTGTTCTGTTGTCTTCTCCTGTCGTACAGTCACTGTATTATTTTTGGAACATTATCAAAGTTATCAACTCTGTATCAGTAGACGAAGCAAACCTGCGATTTACATTCTGAAGAAGCCACAATATAAACAATAATGGCAGTCCATGGGCAGCACTTTTATTAATATAATCTGAGGCAGTATGTTTGTTTTCGTAAACAGAACTATGCCAGGGACAAGGAATCTCGCATCACTTGGGAAAAGACTAAGTATGGCCCTTTCATCTGTTAATAGAAGTTTTGATCTAATTTGCTGTTCTGAAAGATCTGTGTGGTAGATCCCTATAATTTGCTGAACTTTGAGTTAAGGATAAAGCTTTGCAAAATACTTTATACCTTTCACTTCATGTTTACAATGATATAATCAAATGGATTAAGTGAAGAAGAGAATTAAAATGTGAAAAAAGATGGTGGGTAAGTTCAGAACTTTAAAAAAAATATCCTTTATGGCTGTAGTATTCCCCATGGAGTGTCTGCACTAGGTAGTGAAATTAAAAAGATTAAACAACCTGCATGTATTCTAATAAAGGCAACATTAATCTATATTTGTAATGTTTATAAGCAAATGTATCAGGGTAATACTTATGTTTTAAGTGTATTCGTAATGTTCTCAGAAAGCTTTTGAAAGCCCAGTGGAGGTCTGAAGTGCATAAAGTGGAATACAGAACAAAAGTTGCTCTTGGGAATATTAACAGTGGATGAGAGCATTTTAGTGCGGTATTTAGCCATGTCTTCTCATGTGTGATGAAATCACTGTATTGACCTGGAATGAACCAATGCAACACAGGGGGAAAACTACCAGTCAAAAGCCTGGTGACTTGCTTGTGAAGAACAATTGCTCAGGTACATAACGGTGTAATCAAATTTATTTTACTTTAGAATCACCACAATTAGTGCTGTAAAAGGAGACAAATTGTAGGTTCTTCTGGTCCTTATGACCTTATCTATTAAACGGCCATTTATCAGATAGTAAGTAGTCGTTTAACAGATAGCTGTTGCACAGTAGTATGGTGGATATATGATATATACTTGATGAAAGTGAACATGTTCTGCTTCAGAGGTGTCACTGCCTGAAATTCTATCCTCTACTCTTTTGGATATCATTCAGCTGTTCAAAGGTAAAAAATAAGAAGTCAGATTCATTCAGTCCTTGAATCCTTCAATGGATTTGCTCTTGTCTGAATGGCAACACATAAAAACCAGAAGTATGACCCGAGAATTGATTAGGAAGAAAATGCACTTTAAATTAATTAGTAAATAATCTGCATCTTGGCAGAATGTGATAGCACCATAAAAGTCTCTTTGGTCTCTCTGATAAGTGTATCACGTTTTTACTGGAGAGCTGTAGTGGATTTCAGATTATCAGTTGAGACAATAACAGCTTCTCCAGCAGCTTGTACCCCCTCTACACCTTTGTATTCACTTCTTTGAAATGGAAAGAAGTGTTTCATAAAGACAAAGTCAAAAGATGAATAAGTGGCTTACATAATTAAAATTGAAATAGCTCTTCCCCAGCTGCCTCTTTGAAGTTGAACTTGGTGCCAGGATTCAATTAGTAGCAATATTATGCATCTGGTTTTCAGCAAAGCCTGTTATCCACTATTGTGTCAATAACGAAAATTAAATATTGGCCTTTTTGTAGTTATAGTGCAGGCTATCACATACCGAACTGGTGTCCTGGTTGTTATATGTTATATGTACAAAAGAAAAACATTTACATATTAAATTAAATCATGTTTGTTTTTTCTTATTTTGCCTTGATGTTTACCTCCACATACTTAAAAGATGGTTTTTCTTTTTTGTTTAAATTTGGTTTCCTAGGAAAAAAGTGACTGGGGTGTCTGGTAATTTTATTCTGTGATTCGTTTCCTGTAAGTATTCCCAAAAGCTTCGGGAAAATGCAATACACACAGTGGGGCAAAGACATACAAAGGGCAAAGAATTTAAAATGTTTAAATTCTGCAACAGAACTCACCATCCTGTTTTCTGATATGAAAGTTATAAAACCCATTATTCCTTTAAGTACCTTCTGTCTGGATGGCATTTAATTGATTTTGAAAAAAAATATTTCTTTTAATTTATATCCCTTTCCTTTAAAGTCTCATCAGGATCTATATTTACATACATTTTTTTTATAGTTGCATTAGCAGTTTTGACTAAGAATAAATGTTAAAACAATGTGTATTTAATCAATTTCTATAATA